AATTACGATTTCACACCAAAATTGCATGACACAAAGCGAGTCGTACGTGAAAAGTAACACTGAAAGTAAAACTCACTTGTCTTATCGACACAACATGGATACCATTGCAGATACTTTCTAGTTCATTCTCTACGACTTTATGAACTTTCACGCTTTTAGACCAAACACCAAAGCATTTTTCGACCAAATCGGGATCTCCATTGCGACTAGAATTTCGTTTTCTGCGACTTCTATCGTCGTCACTCGCCATTTTTCTTCACGTATTACTAAACAAGTTTCTAGTCCTACTCTAATAAAAGTATGTGAAAGAACCTGGAAACCACTCTCTCTGGGGGGAAGGTACTTCTCCCATCTAAGGCTAAGTTATCAGATATAAATTTTATTTCAAGTTTTTAGCACAACTTTTTATATCAGAAAGGGATATTTTCAAGTATTTTGTTTTAAAATAAAGAATTTAAAAATAACCCTTGACTAACAGCCTCATTTCTTGTGAAGAAATTGTCAGTCATTGGGAACTCTCCCCTCCCCCAGATATCTCTTCCTATTGCACAGTTCCCCCCTAGTTCCAAGATGTCGGCGTTAAACTTAATAACAGAGGGGAAAGTTGCACTTTCCTATTTCATTGCCTGCATTCTCCTAGTTTTAACCCTGTTTCAAAGCTGTATTCTCACAGAAGTATGGAGTATCGCCTCGAGAGGCATGATTCTTGGATTTACTTTGTTTGCGACTTGTTTCGTTCCATATTCTTCTGTTGCCAAGAGAGCTGCGCTGTTAGGTAAGCGTTGAGGAATTTATCACAGCTGTTTTAACTGTTGCTCGGCGAAGAATTCCAAAGTGTTAGCGGTACCATTTTTATGTTTATTTTCTTGCAAATTATATTTTGATGTCGATCTAATCGAGCGAGTCGTTGCGAAGATGAGGCATCTGAAGTAGACTCTTGGCGGTTTATTTGCAGTTGCTGTAAGTTTCATTTTGTACGTGACACTACTTTTGCCGGCAAATAAAGAAAGCAGAAAGCTAGTTTATTGTGGCTTGAATCAAAGGAAAAGAAAGGAGCAGTTGATAGCTTGGGTAAATTTCTTTTTAAGCACTTTAATTTGCCAAGGCCATGAATTGACATCTTTCGACCTCTGTTACTGACAATAACCGAACAGATCTACTAGATATCGTTCAACATTCAGTGCTGTGCAACATTTTCCAAATATTTTTAATTCAGTATCATTGGAAAATGTTTGAATTATATGATAGGCTGATTTATTTAGGCATTTTGGTTAAACTGCACCCGTAATTCAGCCTTAGGCTGCAAGCGGTCAGAAATACTATATTATTATTATTATTATTATTATTATT